AAGTCAAAGCTATTGGCCTATAGTTCTCGGGGGAGTTTGCAGACTTGCCATTTTTTTGCATAGGAATTATTAAGGCTCTCTTCCAGTCTCCGCATCTCCAAGAGTGGTTAAAAATGTCCAGCAGAAATTGCCTTCCACGTAAACCGAGATGATCAATTATGACACCATGAATGTGCCATCCGGTCCTCGTGATTTGGAAAGGTCCATGGAATAAAGTTGTTCCTTTTAACTGAAGGTCCCATTACGAACTTCCAAAAATGAATCAATGAAATGTATCTCTTACCTTGCTATGTTCTATATGTAGTATAAGCAGTACGACCAACCTTTTTTATATATAGGTCCGGGGTTGGCATCAATATACCTAATGATAAATATCTAATGACGACAGCCAATTTGAATAACAATAGAACATTTTATTGTTCTAATTAACAAATCATGACGATGAATGAAATATGATGTCTACAAGTTCAGTGATGATGAAGAAGTTCGACTTCCTCGCCTGAATACATACACATATCTGACCTTAGCGTAAGGAGTTACGGTTGCAGTTCGACAGCATAAGGAGTTACGGTTGCAGTTTGTAACATGATAAAAGGAATTGATTGAATGCAGAGTTTAATGGCACAAGATCCAAAAGAGGATATGCTGCGCCAAACAGTAAGTTAATGCAGCATTAAAATGTAAAATGCACACTACAATTTTATTTTTATAAAATACATAAAGGTAGTAAGACTGTCAATAGTGAGACGAATATGTTAAAAAGTCAATAAATTTCAATAAAAGGCGTAGATATATAAAATACATGAAATAGGAAAAACTGTGCATGGATAATAAATACAAGTGAATAAAATCAGATAAAACTAGCCATGATAATAGGAATTATGCTATTTTAATTCAGAGAACCTGGGGAAATATTTCATGATATTAATAATGAAGATATAGCGGAAAAATTTAGAAAAAATAAAGGAGCAGGAACAACTTAAAAAGGAACGGGAACAAGTTAAAATTCATTATGAGTATATATTGAAATATTTTTTTGCTTAATTTATAAAAAATTTTTAAGAAAAAATTGCTTAGGTATTTTTTGATATTGTAAGATGTTCAAATTGAGGTATATTATATATTTTATTAAATTCAACTCTTTAGAACTCAAAGCATGTGACGTTAAAAAAGGTACAAGAAACAAAGTAAGAAAAATTATATTGGGATTTAAAAAAACTCAGCGCAATATCTTTAAAGAAGATAACCTGCATCTTGTGTATTGATCCAATCAAGAAAAAAGATCTATATGAAGCTTGTTTTTAACTGTTTGAATACCAAACTAAGAAGTTTAAACCAATTTACTAGAAATTTGATGAATTCACACTAAAAGGCTTATAAAGACAGTTAGAAAATGACTGATAATTTCTTAACGATGTTCTTTTTTTGGAAAATTAACATTTGGCAGGAGTATTTTTTACTGACGGTGGTCATGATTGCTTCAGCTGCATTCCAGTACATACCTTCAATTGGAACAAGATGGCATCTACTAAGAAATTCAAGAAATTGTTCAATATCATTTTGGGAAAGATATTAATAGTTTAAATATTTAAAAAAAAAATGATTATATATTGATGAGATATTCTACATATTCTCCATTAATAGTTTATGTCAAGAAAAGCTCAATATGCATTCATGATGTTTTTACAAAATTGTTTTCAACTATTATAATTTTGTTGACTCATCAAATTTCACTTCATTAGAATTTCACAGTTGCACTTGACTCTAATATTTGATTTTCTACTTCATGTTCTCCAATACTTATGAAAACAATTTTCTACTGGCATGGAATGGAATAACAGGCTCTAAATCATTTTAATATATGTTTTCCTAATTATTTAAAACTCTTATTTCATCAGGCTCTAGCTCGTATATATCTAGATATTCTAAATCTGAATTAGAGGCCATGATAGCCTTGTTAGTAAGGCAATGGGCTCATGTCCAAGAGGTAATTTCTTCGATCATCACCGGCTGGAGACTCCCCGTGTAGTAAATGATGACTGATGCATGTTAAATCTGTTTAGTCACAAGTCCTCCATGTTCCCAAAACAAATCATACCTATGGGGTGGCTGATTTAGGAGTTTCCTTGTCTTCTGGATTGGGTTGAAAATTACAGGACTGCAGAGTTGAACACTAGTAGTCGTAAGCCCACAATCGGGTCGGCTGTTCAACTATGGTTATAAAAAAAATAAGAATAAAAAAATCTGAATCAGAATATGATTTTAACAAGGTCATTGTTTCTTGTTTTGCTATACATCTCTTAGTCGTGATGCTAAGATCTAACAAAATTTAAAAATGAGAAAAATAATAAAACGAGGCATACAATTATTTAACTCACTCGGTATCAAGGAATTCATCACAGAAATAAAATTAAAATAAATCTTAAGATTTAGAAAGGATAAACTATGAATAGTAAAAATCTATCCAAGACCATTATTGTGTAGACATTGAAAAATCCCTTAAATGTTAAATCTTAAGTCTGATAGAGTTGAGATTCACTGTCAAATGACACAAAAAAGTATAACACCCTGTATAAGACATCATTTTATCAGAAAGAATTTCTTTTTATTAGTTGGAGTCTTAAGAAAAGAGAAAAATGCTAAGTATAAAAGAGTGCATTACTTTCTAAAGTATTTTGTCAGTATCTTTCCCATCTGCAAATTCATGTCAAGAGAAGTTGAACCTAAACACTTTTATCCCTCTTTTTTTTCAAACTTCATTATTAATCTTGAATAAGTGTCATAATACCAACTGAAGAAAATGCAGATGAAATAATTCAAAGTATCACTTGAAATCTTAGAATTAAAATGCCAATGTTTCAAAAATTGAAGTTTTGCTTTTTAACTACTAATATTTTGATTTTAAAATTTTAATTTAAAATTTTGAATTTAATGCCTAACTGAAGGTTATATTATCATTTTAAAAGCTTGTAAGTATTGTAGTTGTATTATAAAAATTGGATTTTTAGTAAATTATATTACTAGTAGGCTAAAAATTTAAGAACTAATCAAATTTTTAAAATTCATAAATAATCAAATAATTATGGTGACGGAACCAAACTAAATGCAAAAAATATTTCATAGTGTAAATTTTAAGTCTATGAAAAATAATATTCAGACTTTAATTGCTCATTAAATGCAAACTCTAAGTTCATGTTCCCTTTTTAAAGCATGTAAATGGTTAATATTTTGGTTTAAAAGAACTTAGCGATGCATTTTCAATGTATTTATATTTTAACTCCAATCTCATTAATTTTTGTAGGGATAAAAATGTCTTTGTTCTTCATTGAACTAAGACATTTTACAAAGTTTGTCTTTCCAATCAAACAATAATATATGAACGATTATAAATTTTATGAATGATTTACTAAGGAAAGTTTCCAAATTCAATGGATAATATGAAATATATCCCAGATGTAAATGCCAGAAAAATTGTTAATATCTGCATGTAAGACATTTAGTCGTATTAAGTCTTTTTAAAAAATAGTTTTTACAATGTACAGTATAATCATGCGATAAAGAACTTACAACAATGTAATTGGTTAAAAGGCATAAACAAAGGTTTGTTTTGCAATATTCTTCTTTACCCCTCTCACATGAAAATTTATTTTTCACCTTGTTCTATTGTTTCGTCCATAAAAAGCGCTCACACTTTTGTAAATTTCATGCTAAAAAAATTGCATACAAAGCATATCCAAATGAAGATAGATATACTTTGTGCCACATACTGTTTAGCTTTGAAGAGACCTCCTCCAGACTAAAAGTATGGGGCTGTTTGCCGCTATGGTAACAAGAGAGAGAGCACATTTCTGATGGGGGTGCATTGGAAGAAAGAAGGAGTTCATTGATCGCAAATAAAATATTCTCAGATCGACTTGTGCCATGATCATGACAAAACTATTCACTCCACACTTCTTTCCGAAGTGACTTACTCTCGTAACCATAGTATTTCCCACCACGCGAGACTGATATTTGGAAGAGTTCTCCTGAATGCAGTACAATATGAGTTAAGCAAAACAATGAGAATAAAGAATAAATGATGAAAATATATTTTCAGTTCTATAAGCAACCTTTCACACACTTGAAACACTAATTTTCTGACACTAATGAAAGTTCTTGTTTATAAATCTGAAACTATAGCAAGTCCATTTTTTTGCTATTACTGCTTTATTAACTATGTTTTGCTTTATTCAAATAAAGGATTTTTAAAAGAATTTTCTTAGATAAAAATTAATGTGCCCATGTCTGGTTAGGTGAGGGAGGGTTTACTCTGGAGAAATGATGCTTTATTCATAATAGAGTAACAGGAATTTTTTTTTATTATTATTATATAAATTTTTTTGGAGGTATATTTTATTGTCCATAATGTGACATTTCACCCAGAGGTGTAATAGTAGATCCTACGTGAGATAGGACATTGATTGGCAATGATAATGCATAAATGTGGCGGGAGAGCAAAATTATATTGACCTAAACTGCAATTTGATATTTTCTTCTCATCATCCACCCTTGATAAATAAAGTAAATAAAAAATAAAACGTCTTTTTTGGTAAAAAGTTCATTTTTTTAAGAAATATTGTCAAAATTAATAAAAATAGGTTATTCGTTCTATTTCTTTTAGAAATTAAATGAAATTATTTTGTTTTTTCATGAATTCTTTTTTTTTTTACCTGTATGAAAAAAATTTTATTCATGAAACTTCTTGTGCTTTTCAGAACACTCTGTTCATCTGGAAGTTAATTTATAAGTATGCAGTGTATGAATTGTTGTAGAAATAACTCATTAATTTCTTTTTGTAGAATAATAGAATAGAATATGTAGAATCCCAATAATAAAGTAGTATAATAGCTTTATTATTTAGTTCACTTTTAACAGTTACGTTATTGCAATTACCTTTGTTATTAATATCTCATATTTATAATATATATTTATTAATATCTCACTATTGTGTGTTTAAACAGATTTAGAAGCTAGAGAAAAAGCTGCCCAAGAGTTTGATGAACTTAAATCTGCAGAGAAACTTAAAAAAGAAGTAAGCATAAAGAACTGAACATACTAAACTAAGCACAGTTGCAATGCATTTTTTTTTTTTAAATTAAAATATTTCAAAAAATTTAAAAAAGAACTTTTTTATTAAAGTAGTTATAATTATTTACTAATAATTCAAAAATTATTATTTTTTTAGAAATATTTTTGTGTATGTAACTTCTTTCAGGATTTTTGTATTATTTTCATTATTTTTTTCTAAAAATATTATCGAGTTCCAGAGAATTCTTTTAAAATTTACACTGTTATACTATGTACATTATTTATACTCATTAAACTGTTATAGTTTATTTATTTAAAGATGTGATTTAAATATATTAAATGTTTATAAATGATGTTATTAAATGATATATTTATTTTTAGATTGATAGATTGCGAAAGGAGGGATCGAGCATAGTTGAAAAGGAGATGGAACTTCTTCGCCAACAAATTATAAATGAGAATTTGGGTATGTTACTTACAATATTTTTCATGTCATATTTAGCATATTATTATCGAGCAATTATAATTACATATATTATATAAATAGACAGGTTTTTGTTTATAAATTTATAGGTATCAAATTGCCTTGATCCTTCATAACCATTTATATAACCATTTTTGCTCTATACATTTTTTAAAAATCTAATTCAAAACTACATTCAGTATTAGAATAACAATAAGTTAAGCTCATTAAAAAAATTGCCAAATTACTAAGCATTCATAGATCGTTAATGTCTTAGGGCAGGAAAACGAAATCCAAATTTTTATTTTATTCTTATAAACTGACTTAAAATTTCACCCTTGTATATGAAATACATTAACTGAAAACAATTTCAAAAATAAAAAGGTTTATTTAAGCGTTTATTGTTTTAAATTGTTAAATATGATTATAAATTTTAAAGGCTATGAATTTTGTCTGTCTAGGTGTTGACAAAGAACAGCCAACGAATGAAGACCAACAACCAAGATTAAAGGTTCAATTTATTTATTATCTTCAGTAACATTGCAATATTTTATTTTACATAATTTCTTATAAACATATTTTCAGAATTTTAATATTTTACATCTTATCTTTCGAGGATCATTTGCAACTATTTAATTTACGAGGCCTGTCTAAAAAGTATCCGACCTTTGGCCAGAAAAAATATTTCGAATACCTGACGGAGTTGGGACCCTAATCTCCTTCAAAGTAGGCCCCTTGTGCTTGCACACACTTAACCAACCGATCTTTCCACTACTGGAAACACCTCTGGAAGTCTTCTTTTGGAATGGTGTTCAGCTCCGTCGTCGCGTTCCGCCTTATCTCTTCTCTATTTTCAAAACGGGATCCTTTCAGTGGCGTCTTCAATTTTGGAAACAACCAGGAATAGCAAGGAGCCAGGTCCGGGAAGTATGGGGGGTTGGTGAACGGTTGTAATTCCATGTTTGGCTAAGAAAGTGTGGATCAATTGGGGTGAATGTTCAGGGGCGTTGTCGTGATGCAAATGCCAGTTGTTCGCCGTCCAGTTCGCCAGTTGTTCAACGGTGGAACCACTCCTTAATTTGTGTTACACCCACCGCTTCTTCTCCAAATACCTGCTGAATCTTGCGAATTGTTTGGTTTTGAGAATCACCAAGCTTTTGACAGAATTTGATGCAGTATCTTTGCTCAATTCGTTCAGTCATCTTGCGAGAAAACTAAATCCGACGAACACTACGAACATCACCTTACTTGGCGTCCACCAGCCAGCGACTTGCACAAGCGAACGCGGTGAAAAAATTTCAAACACGTGCATTAAGGTTCCTCCTTCCACCGTGCACTGCTACGCCGCCTTAGAATCACTACTTTGTGAGGGAAAAATTAAGGTCGGATACTTTTTAGACAGGCCTCGTATATATTTTCTCAATTGCCTATTTTGGGACTCTTATGCTGCATTGTGTTTTATACATGCATCATAAATTTTTCATTAAAAAACTTATGTTAGATTTTCAATATCAGAAATTTTTTGTTCAAAGTTGCCTGTGCCATTTAGAAACAAATTTTCCTGATACAAACTTAAAAAATATATTAAAAGGAAAGCTATACTTTGTAGGTTTAAACAAATTTATTTCCCATTGTTTAAGTTTGTGTGTACTCATCTGGCAAACACGCCAACACTTAATACAGGGTTGCCACAGGCAACTAAAATGCAACTATTTTCATCATGAGGCAACTATGGCAGCTTTTTTTGCCTGAAAAGGATGAAAAAGCAACTATTTTCAGGAAAAGGAGACTATTAGGAAACTTTTCTGTACTCCTAGAAATGTTTTTTAGCATAAATTGGGTTGAAAACCTGCAGTCTGCGAAATCTTCGGAGCACACTGAATTTCTTTTCTTAAAAAATAAAAAATTTAAAATAAAAATAATAAAATTTAAAAGAATTAAATAAATAATTAAAACATTGAAAAATAAAAAATTTTAGATTGCAAATTTGAGTCATCACTTCTTAATGCGTTCAATTTGCACAGATTCTACTGTAAGTCTATTTTGTTTCTCTATCGCCTTTTCAACGGTTATTGTTACGAAATTCTGCATAGTTTTAAAAAACCCAATTTTTAATACGATATTACTAAGCATGAATTTTGAATTTGAGTAATCCCTTTTCACAAAAACTCACCATACATAATATTTACGCGAATAGTTTATATAAAAATTGCGAATAGTTTATATAAAAATTTTCATATTTGCCACCAACTTGACTAAATGGATCACGGTATACGACAATTAAGTCATTTAATAAAATTATAGTTTTATTTTTGTTCTTATTTAGGCAACTATTTTCATTGTTTTTGGCATCTATTTTCATGCTTTAGGCTACTAAAAGCAACTATTTTGCTCATTTTTATCTGTGGCAACCCTGTTAATAACATCCTCTTTTTCATCTCAAGTATTTTGACAGTATATATGCATGAATATTCAATAAATGACTCTTTAGTTCAAGAAGGATTAAGGAATTTCGTTGAAGCATATAAAGTTATGAGATATATTTTAAAATTATCCTTGATGTGCTTGCCATAAGCATACTCTTTAAAGTTCATGTAGGAATACCAATATTTAATGGTGTCTTGTCCTGTAACTTTAGTGTTTTAGAAGTTTTTTTTTAATGTAATTAAACTTACATACATAGTTTGTTATGCAAATGAAAGGATTAAAATTTTGAATAAATGTAGTTGCAAACATATTAAAATTAGTGTCAGCATGTTCTTAATGAGCATATTTTTTATTTTTGTCATCAGGGGTCTGTTTAGAAGAAATTTGGGTCCGTTAACGGCCCTTCACAAAATATCTTTTCATAAAAACGGACCCTTCACAAATTTATCTCCATTACTGTTCTGTTAATTGAATAAACCCTTCCCAGGAAGGGGGGTGGAAAGAATGACAAATGTAAACGAACTAAATCTTGTCTTTGACAGACGCTTCTTCCTTTATTTGTCCGAAATGAATATTCTGCAGTATAGGCTAAATACCAAATATTTGTATGTTGCATCACTAATTTAGTAGCTGTAATTGCTGTTTATTTTTGAAAATTAAATTTTTTTAATTGTAATTTTACAGTGTTGAGCATAATCTTGTATGTCTTTACAATTTAAAAACTCCTTTAAAAAGTTTTTTTGCAATAACGAACCCTATTTGCACAAATTCACAAAAGCGGACCCTGGTTGAAAGAATGTGACTTAATGTTTATTTTATATTCACAAATTACAAGTAATTTTTTCACAATTTTACAAAAACGGACCTTTCACAAAATGTCTGGACAGACATGGTCATGGCATCTTGTCCTACATTGTTTTTTTTTAAATTTTTCAAAATTTTTAATTTGTTTCTAACTTTAACACAGTCCAGAGATTATTATTGTAAAAAGTTAGCTTAATTTAACATATATTGACCACAATTTGCAAATATAAAATATAATGAAAGTATGTACAAAATTTAATTTTTATTTTTAAATTCAATTTAATTATACATACTACTTTATTCTTGCCTGAAAGGAAAAAAAAGAAAAGAAAAAAAGAAATGACAATGCTAAACCCAATGAAGAAATCAGCAAAAAAGGATGAACTTGTAGTTGATAATATATGTTTAAATAATTTATTATTTTTATTTTAAAAAAATAAGTTAACAGAATGTAATTTATGCTTTTCTGATTTGTGCCAATTAAGTTTTTTTTTTTTAGAGGAAAATCATTGCAATATCATCATAGGTACTTTTCATAAAAATAAAACTATAACCAGAATAATGAATAAGTGGCTTTTTTTTGGTACCTAATTATAAAAAAAGCTGTTTTTTTTTGTAAAATATAGATAAAATCTTTTCTTTTTTATTTGATCTTTAATTTTTACATGTTTTTAGTTTTTTCTGCTGGCAATCCCCCCCTCCCCCTTGTTCATTTTTTAAAAAGTCTTAAGTATAAAATATTCTACAGATGTTGTGATAATAAACATCAACCTCTGCCCCGTTCTAGGGTTTTTGCTATCGGATATGTATATCTATATATAGTATATGCCTGCCTGTACTGAAGATTTTGCTAAAATGGTAAAAAAATGATGACATTTATATGATGTACACATTTTTACTACTTTTTAGTTTCAAGGTCCACTTTTTTGTTTACATATAAATCCTATGAATTTTTTTATTTTGCAGTAATTACAAAATTTACATATTTTATGTGTGTTTTTTCTCAACACTAAATGTATTATTATATCTAAATATATACATTACTTTCCAAAAATAATTTAGGTGAAATGGAAAAGTGCTAAGTCTGAAATATCTAATGGAGGCTATAATAAAGAAGATCTTGAGAAAATATTTGAAAAAGTAAGTGCGGATAATTTCATTTAAATTTTTTGACAGAACTTTTTCTGTTTAAAATCTTGTCACTTTCTTCATTTTAATTTGTTTTGTATCTATTTTTATGTAGTATGGTCAAGTGAATGTTTACCCGTCAAAAAAGCGTTGCACTGCTATTTTAGAATTTTCAAGTCTTGAAGCAGCTGTAAGTATTACTTCAGTTTTGAACTCAGTGTGATATCTAAGACTTTTCAGTTTCATTTAGAAATATTATTTATATATTTGTTTGAAAAAGATTTGTGTGTTTATGTTTTAAAACTTCAATAGCAAAATAAACTTTAAGTTTTAAAGAAGTTTAGAATTGTTCATTTTTACTTTTTACCAAATTAATTAATTAGCTTTTAAAATAGATTATTTACTTCATGTAGAAATGCATAAAATATTTATGCATTATTTATTTACATTGTAATATGGTTCTAAAAATCAAAAATTCAGGTTTTAAAAATGAAAAATTGTTATCTTTCATCTTTAAACTTTGCTTGCATTCACAAGATTTGAAATCGCACATTGTGATTTGTATTCATTTGATTTAAAAATTGCACATCAAGATTCATATTCAGAAATTTTTTAAAAAAAAACATGCGTTGATATTTTTTTTAATAAAAACTTCAATATTCTACACGTGTATGCTTTCTATGTACACTCTTTTTCCTGCTCAAATTCAGGTATGTTTTCAATTATTTCATAAGTGCTTTGCACATTGGTTCCGTCCCCAGGTTTAGTTCCTGACACTTTTGGATTAAAATTTAAACCTAATTATTTACTTTGTTATTATTACAACTTAATCACAAACTTGTTTTTTAAAATCTTATTCAATTTTTTATTTTGATCAGATTTGTTAATTGATTTTTGAAAAAAGAGATTATTTAGAATAGTGAGAAAAGTTAATTACTTATATTGAAGATTAAGATATATAATCAAGTTTGTTATTTCCTATCAGCTTTTTTTCTTTTCTTTTCTTTTTTCTCCTACTAAATGTGTGATTTATGTAAATTAAGAAACTTTTTTTCTCCAAAATCTACAATTGATTGAATGGGATATTGTTAATTTAGTTGATTGAAAATGGCAATATAAAATAATAAACTACATTTTTCAGTTATTCAGGAAAGAATTTTTGGTGAAGAACACAATTTACATGGTATTTTATTGTAATGTGCTGTTATCTAGTGAAAATTCATGAAACTTATAAAATATTATCTTAACAATTTAAATTTTATTTCTTATTTAAAATTTTTTTTTCTTTCAGAATTATTGAATCATAAGTTTAATTATTTAATTCCTTGAAATACAGCTATTAAATGAATAAATAATAGTTGCTATAATTATTGCACTGTTGCTTTACAATGTTAATAGCATTTTTATCCATGCATGCTATTAACATATTGAAAGAATTTAATCATTCTAAATATTTAAAAAAAAAAAAAAAAAAAAAAAAAAAAAACTAAATTGAAATCTTTATAGATAAGGCTAAATACATTGAGCTTTTATCAAAGAGACTTACTATTATTATTAGTTTGTCGTTGTGTTTATCATTATGGTATTAGGAAATAAGTTCATATTTAATTTTGCAGAGCATATTTGTATGTAATTATTGTTAGTTTTGCAAAATTTTCTCAGGTAATTGAAATTTAGATTTATTAAATTTTAAGTGTGCATTACTAATTACTGATTAATTTGTATTACTGCACTTGCAATGTATATAATGAGTGGTAAATCATGTACCTCAATGATTTATTTATTTTTTGTAGGGAAAAAAATTTATCGTTAATTCTTCTATTCAAACTTTTTTATTCATTAAAAATGTACTGGTTAGTTAATATTTTAGCTTAAAATAGTTAGTATAATAATATTAGGGGCCAAAAAATGTATTAAGCTTGAAATTAATTTTATAGAAATTTATGTTCATCTACCACAGCAAATTACTATTTTATAAAATATTTTATGGTTTTGTAAGATGGGAAATTAAATAAGGGGAAATAATAATAAGGATAATTTTATTTCTATGATTAAAAAACATATTTTTTTATTGATATGTTTTTTTTAAATATTTTATATAATAGTACCAGGAACAATAATGAATGAATGTTTTTTTAATAAATATTTTGAATGTTTAGCCCAATTACACCAGGAAAATAATATAAGTCGTGTTAAACTGGAATTTAATTTTTGAAAATCTATTTCTATTAGTACATTAAAGATTAATGACCAAATGCATTTGAATCGAAAAACAATTGAACATTTAAAATTTCTTTCACTGCCTTAGCATTCATATTTAGATTTCTAAGGTTATAATTTTCTTTTTAAGATCTGAAAAGCAATTTGAAACCAGAAAGTTCAGAGAACGGAAAGTATATAATGCACATATTTTAGAAGACCTGGTGTTACTTGTTAAGTAGGTTTTGGAAGTTTTTCTTAATTTGTTTTAAAACAGCTACCATGAAATCCCACAAAAGAAGAAAAATATATGGTGGTTGTAAGTTTTTATACTAATAGACTGCACTGTGTTATTTTTTAATGATTACGCGATTATATTTTATAAATAAATATAAATTATTATTCAAAATCAGGTCTAGTTTTACTTCGCTAGTAGTCTGAGGAATTTTTACCTTATCTTAAAGGATACATTTTGAATTGTGAGTGTGAGTTTTTTTGTTTTAAACTTCTCTTAAACAAATTTGAAATTGTTTTTTTTCATTAATATTTATTGATTTGTATTAATATTATGTTAGGGAATTTTTTAAAAAATTTTTTGGAAAAATTGCTTTCTACTCATTGGTACAGGTTTTTAAATTCAAGGTCTTCAAGTTAGGAAAAAATTGTTATGCAGAGCAACTAAATATATTATGTAACAGCAAAGATTTTTTTCTTTCTTTCTAGAAATAGAATTAAAATTTACTTCATGCAAAATAGTCTAAGATTATAAACTTGTTTGGATTGTATGACTCCAAATATACTAATTTTTTTTGTTTCTGCTCTTTAAAATTATTTCAATATTTAATATTGTGAAAGAAATAGTGTAGATTAAAAATCCATAAAGCTGTTAACGATTGTCCTTGATTCCGTTTAGTTACACTATTTGAAAATGTACTTTTACGCATTGGTGTGCTTTCATTGATGTGCAGTGTATTATTTGCTTTCTACTCTAATATTCTATTTGTTCTTAACCACCAAATTTAAAAGTTTATACTTGATTATCATTTTTAATTTTAGCAAAGAGCCTTTGAATTAGAGAAAGGAAATACGGATATTCCTCTTACTGTATCATGGCTTAGTGGTCAGCCCCAACTGCCAAATAATGCTCGGTTCCAAAGTCCATCTACTACCAGAGGTCCACCACCTGAGTTTGGAGAGAACAGTGTTAGCCCTTTGACTTCAAGAGATTATGAAAGTATAGTTTTAATGAAATTGAGACAAGCTGAAGAAAGAAAGCGTCTTATTCAACAAATGATGGAAGAAGATGATTAATAAATTTTAATTTGCATTTAGCTTAGGTTTAGTATTAAATTTTCCATTTTTACCATTTATACAAAAATGTTTCTTTCAAAATGAAGCTCTTAATATATTATAAAGGCAAATCTTATTGTTTAGTCTTCTTCAACAGATTAATAATAAATGCTAAACTGTCAGATTTCTATTTTATACTTTATTTAGAGTCAGTGTAAATACTTCAAGCTTGTTATATGTACAAAGATATTCACTTGTTTGCTATATTAAACTGTTTTTTTTCCTTGTTATTTGTTTTGTTTTCATTTGTGAAACTTTCTGTTCTCTATATAAACTTGTAATTATTTAATAAGGAGATCTTAAATCATAAAAAAATTGATTTCTTACAATTTTGTAAATAAATTTATTAATTTATATTTTCTTTTTTCTCTTTTATTTGAGAGTATTAAGTGGTTAAAATTGGATATTTTTACAAGTGTTGAGGAATTCTTAAACAAAACACTATTCAGTAGAAATGCTCAACCTTTTCAGAAGAGGGCTACAGAAAACTTTTTTTGGCTTTTACTAGCTGCAAAAATTTAGTTTTATGCCAATTTATAAGCAATTTATTTCTGAGTTTAATTAAAACAGCTACGATCTGTTCTTATTAAAATATAAGCATACGGTTTACAGTTGACCAGTTTTGCACACTGAAATTAAATGATTGTGCTAATGAAATTAAACTATTATAGTTTAAATTATTATTAAATTTAAATTATTGCAGTAAATTTAATTTTAATATTGTTTTTCTCTCTATAATGACTCAAATCTTGTAACTAAATCTTACACTACATTTCTTTTCAGCATATTTTGATTATAGATTTTTGTTGTTAAATTTGAAATTGTCCAAAGATGTAAAAACTCTAGACACTTCGAAGTAGGGTTTCTAAATTTGAAATTTCATTATTATAGATTGGATTTTTAAAAAAAAATATTCTTTGCTACTTTATACTAACTCTTTTTAAACTGGAAGGTAGGGAATGCTCATTGGCCATTCCACAGCAACAAGCATATGAAAGTATGAATATCTTAATTATATTTGTTCAATTTAAAGGATTTGGATGTCTTATCCTAAATAATGTTAAAATGGACAACTTAATTGTACCTTTTCTCAGAAAATAATGAATATTTTTAAAAAAAAAACTTATTTGCTCTTCTTGTTATAGTACACATTTTTTACATTTGTTTTTTTAATTAATTTAAGCTTTTAAAATATAGTTATTATTATTATTATTTTTTTGTCAAAATATCAACTTTAAAATAAAGATCAAGGACTAAATATAAAAAAGAAGAAGCTAAAACGTTTTTTTAAATCGATAATTTACATCAATTGCGATTTTAACACGAACCATTTGATATTCTTTAATTGTATCTTTACTCTTTTGAAATAAAAATGTAAACTATGTTTTTCATTTCTGGCTATTTTGTTACATTCTACCCCATCTCTAGAAACATAATTGGAAATAGTTTTTAAAAATTGACTAGTAATATTACTGCAAATTAAAATATCGATTTTTAATCAAGAAGTATTGGTTTTGATAAGTAACAGGTAAACATTTCCAGTAAAAAGAGAAATTAATATTTTTTAACTGCATATGTTCTTAATTTAACTGTTGAATTATGTTATTAATTCAAATTTAACTTAAAATGATAGGTAACACACATTTTCATTAAAAAGTATGAGGAGAAAACTAAATTTTTTTATTTCAATGTATGAATTATTGGATCTTAAACGTTTTTATTTTATAATATAGTAATTGTATTTTACTCTAAACCTTTTACTATGAAATTCGATTTCCCAAAATAAAAATGAGCAAAATTCTTCAATTCTGATAAGCAACATTTTTTTCCATGTAAGTCATATTTTTAAATTGTTTCTTAATATTTTTTCAAGTAGGCATTTTACTAGTTTCTTTATTAGATGAACATCTTATTTTAAGCCTTCATTAAATTTGTGGTGTTTTTCATCAAAAAAAGTTCTTAAAAAAAACTTTCCTCAACAATTTGAAATGTGGCTTATCACCATATTGTCACAAATCTTTCAATTAAAAGGTGAACTAATATAAGTTTATAAGTTCACTAGAAAAGTTTCTTAAAAAACAAAATCAGAACCTTCAAGAATAAGTAACCATAATATCCCCCTTAAATTAATAAATGTAAGTACTTAGTTTTTTTCCATTGGAGATGAATAAAACACTCCTAAAGACTAAAAATTTATTTGGAAAAACTTCTAGAAAATCCAGTTAGAATAATAGCTTAATACAGCAAAACAAAAGATTTAGTATCTCGGATGGGACAAAGATTTGACTCTAGCCAAAACACTGCTACAGTCACAATCAGACTATAGTTTGTCTAAAGTAAGAACTCCCCTACCCATTCGTCTGGACCCATGGCGGTGACTATGGTAACGAGGCAAAACTATTTCAGGAAGGGGTGTTGGGTCATTGTTTAGGACATGTTTTAGCTACGGTAGGCGAGAGGAAGGGAATCTTTTCCTTTTGTCTATTGTGTTAGCCCTCCCTGAAATGTGCTATTCTAGTTTCCATAGCATCAGACGCCCTGAGACTTTGTGGCGGTGGGAGTTCTTACCGTAGACAAACTATATTGCTCTGTGTGGCACACTCCTATTTATATTGGCTTGGTGTCGGAACTTTCGACATGATTCTAGACAATTCTCGTATAACTCCGTAAATATTAGTCCTTTCGCTTTGGAGCGCTAATTATCCAGAACTGCCCATTAGTCGCCAAAATTATCGAAAAGTAAGCAAAAATGTCGCCGAACCGAGTCTTCCGTAAGAAATACGTTAGACGTTATTTTTTTTCTTCTAAATTATGTTAGAATTACGCAATACTCCAGCAATTTTTCTAATTTGTTTAGGGTCCGTATCAGATATTTAGCCCCTGAACAAAAGAATAAACTCATTGTTGAAGCCGGTATGTTGCTACGCCCGTTGGCTTCTTGGCGTCATTGTTATCAGCCAAGAGCCAGTTGATGTGAAACAACAAAAGCGCATACACGCTCCGCAGCGCTACCAGCGCACCCGCAAAATAAATAGTTTACAGTCCACGTTTGATTTTTTATACACCCGCAAGCTATCGGCCAAACACTGNTGGTACGTAAATACTTGTTTCACCCCAATAAATATACGTTTATTAATTTATGTTTTATAAAGAAACTGATATTGAGTCAATTATGAAAAAAAATTCACAAATTTTACATACTTAATTAGGTATGCGTGATTTGCGTATTGAGAACTGTTTTTTTTTTCTTGACCCACAATCGACCCTCCCTATCCCTCAGATCGACCCCCGCTTTTGTTAAATGGACCCCTGGGGGTCTATATAGACCACTTTGGCAACCTCTGCTCTAAACCTTTTACTGTGAAATTCGATTTGCCAAAATGAAAATGAGCAAAATTCTTCAATTCAAGTGCTTGTGGCAGTATTCTGATAAGTAACATTTTTTTCCATAACTCATATTTTTACATCAAACTGTTTCTTAATATTTTTCCAAGTAGTTTCTTTACTAGATAAACATCTTATTTTAAGCCTTCAGTAAATTTGTGATGTTTTTCATCATCAAAAAAAAAAAAAAAAATCTCTTAAAAAAACTTTCCTGAACAATTTGAAGTGTGTCTTATCACTATATTTTCACAAGTCTTTTAATTAAAAGGTGAGCTAATATAAGTTTATAAGTTCACTAGAAAAGTTTCTTAAAAAAACACAATCAGAACCTACAAGAATAAGTAACCATACTATTGCCCTTAAATTAGTTAACGTAAGTACTATAAAAATATTGTACCAAATACAGTGGTTCGTTTCGATTGGAGATGAATAGAACACTCCTTGAGATTCCGAAAATTTATTAGCAAAAACTTCTAGAAAATACAGCTATTTTGAGCACTCAAATACAGCTCGAATAATATCTTAATACAGCAAAACAAAGGATTTAGAATCACAGACAGGTCAAAGATTTGACTCTAGTCAAAACACTGCTACAGTCACAATCATACTATTACTCGGCGTCGAACACTCCTATTTTATTTTATAACAGTCATTGAACAGCCAATCCAATTTTCGGGTTTACCACTACTAATGTTCAACTATGTAGCTTGTAATTTTGAACCCAATCCAGAAGACAAGAGAACTCGTGGATCAAGTATTGGGGCAAATTTGCCTTTGTGGAGGACTCTTTGATAGAACTGACCCGCATTTGCATTACATAGAGAGGAAGACCATGAGAACCTCCCACGATTAGCCTGACTGCAAGGGGACTCTAATCCATGATCCGTCTACCTCTGAGGATGATACTTCACGTCAGCACTGTGTTCTGTGCAATCCCGGGTGCGGAATTCCTATCTAGATGCCATCGCTGGGATTCGAACCCTGTCCACCTCATTGGAAGGCGGACGCTCTCATACTCCTATTTTTATTGGCTTGGCGTCGGAACTTTCGGTATGATTCTAGACAATTCTCGTAAACTCTGTAAATATTAGTCCTATCGCTTTGAAACACTAATTTTCCAGAACTACCATTTTGGCGACAAAATTTAAGTGAGCGAAAATGTCGCCAAACCAAGTCTTCCGCAAGAAATACGTTAGGCTTTATTTTTTCTCTAAATTACGTTGGAGTTACGCGATACTCTAGCAATTTTTCTAATTTCTTTATTTAGGGTCCGTATGATATATTTAGCCCCTGAACAAAAGAATAAACGCATATTTATAAATTCGTAACAATATTAAAAATCTAACAAATAAAAGTGAGAATTTTTGCCTACATTATTCAAGGTTCATACAGTGAGAAGTAAAGCTTGTAGCGTTTTGAAAAAAATCTTGCACTACGCCACCTTCACTATTTTGGTTGTTACATTATGTTTAGCAGCGCAAAAACTCTAAAACTTAGAAACTTGAATTTACAAAGGTATGCAAATAATGTACAGAAAATGGAATAGAGTTAAAATTTTATGAAAGCTCAGTTTGTCAATCGTAACAAAATGAATAACAGATCGTAACTAAACGAATTATCGAATTTTTTTAAAGTTTTTTTTTAACAATTACATATTTATTTAAAAAATACCCTACGTTTTTTTCCCCTTTGGAATATAACGGCTTTAGGAAATATAATAAATGAGGAGCAATCACTGGGATTGGTGAGCGGGAGCAAGCAGGGGCGGAGTCTCCTAGTTCTTTAAAAAAGAACAATTTAGCATTAGATGTTTTTTTCCCTGCTGGGTGCTAAACTTTCGTATTCG